TGATCTAGCAGTCAGCTGAAGTAGCCTGCAGTGCTGCATTTAACCACCGCGCCACCTCGGCTCCCTAGTGATCCAATAAATATGCTGTCAAACCTGAATTCAATTGGAGTGTAGGAGTGTTTGTATCCTTGGGCATTCTGACATGAATTCAATTTGACACAGGTTGGGCTGAGGGGAGATGGAGCCTTCAGTTAAAACCCCATTCCTAATTGATGAGTCAGCCACATTCCAGTGTCTGGCGGCCCGGAGGAGGAGGATAGATGTTGCCTAGCAACCAACTCCCATCTTGGTTGGACAATGTGACACTTGTTTTGGAAACTTGAGAAAATTGAAACTTATATTGGAGTGAAAAGCCCAGGAACTTTAGTACTGGCTTTTCACCAGTTAATGCCAATATAGTGTCAAAGTACAATAAATTTGTACTTTGAGAAAAGGCATGCCTAAGAGTTCAATGCAATTGTAGATGCGGAACAAGATTACACAAAACCAGAAGAGTAAACAAAAAAGCTAGAAAAATGCTTCCAAAAGCTTTTTTCAAAATGGTGGAAGAAGTAGGTATCCAAGATGTATGGTGAGAGATTCATCCTAATAAAAATCAATATTCATTTTACTCAAATAGACCTAAGCCCACGATAGACATGGTAAGGATCTCAGCAGAGTTAGAATCTAACATACAGGAAATAAATATAGAAATAAATAACTGGGTGGATCATAATCCGATAAAAGTTATATGGAAGGGATGCATTACTTGGACCTTGACATATGCAAAATAATCACAGTGGAGGGGAAAATGTTGATTTTGTGTAACTAAGGCTGCCTGTTGATTGCCCTGAATAAAGCTTCTCAACAATGAAAGTTTGCTAAGTCTAGAATAATCTGTACTAGAGAGAGCTTTATGTGGCATTTCATGAAGCCCCTACAACTACTCACAGGAATAAAAATGCAAATGGTCGATAAAATTAAACATATATTTGCATGTTAGTATTAATTAAAAATGCAGTAAAATGTAATAAATATGTTTCTGTATTTATATGACACAAGGTGCATTGAAGGGTTAACATAAACAGATTAGTAAAGGGCCCCTTTGCTTGTGGGGCTCATGGGCAAGTGCCCATCAAGCCCATGCGTTAAGACAGCCCTGGAATGAAGTAACATTCTAATGATGTGTCAAGCAGGAGAGCTATGTATTTTGTATGGTACAAATTTATTTTCACTTATCACCAGCCAAACAACCTGAGGAGGCTCACTGGTTATTGTGCTTGCAACTCTAAAATTTCCATGTCAGGAAAAGGAAGGGGGAAAACTCAAGTTGATGTTAAAGCTCGCTCTATTTTTTTCAACGTTTTCTGAACCGGCTGAGAAAGGCCAATTCGCTTGAGAAAGGAAGAGCAATTTCAGAACACTCAATATCCAAACAATGCAACTTTGAAAAAGCCCATTTCCTACCTGAAGTAAGTAGCAATGCAGAGAATGACAACCAGCATGGGATAATAAATATAAAAGCCATCTGCTATGAAGGACAATACTTTCATCGATCCCATAATCTGGGAAGCAAAGAGCAATGGATGTTAGCAAAGCTAAGTTTTGTTTTGTTGTTTTGCTCAAAATATTTTATATATTGATATTAAGTAAAGTCTGGCTTTAAAATCCATGATTTGTGTTCCATGAACACCTCAATATACCCTACAAAATAGGATTATAATTTGATCCTGCAGAGAATGAATAGCGTATTTAATTTTTTTTTTAATAATACATCTATCAATATAATTAAGAAAGGAAGAACATTTTATGTTTGATATTCATCTTCAAATACTGTATATTAAAGAAGTAAAAACAACTGCACACACTCAAAATTTCAGCTATAAGTTAACTCTCTGGTTGCTGCTCTCTGCCAATAGAAAATGGCATAGTATAAGGTAAGCCCCACTGTTATTTTATTATCCAAATGTAATTTTTTTGTCTTTTAATCACCCCGTAATCCCTTACATTGGGGTAGAGTCAGGGCAACTGAATGCAGCTGAGCGTTTACTGGTCAGATGCCCTTCCTGTCGCCAATGTAGAATTCGCAGCAGATAATTACTCATTGTATCCAGAGAAAGAAATATCTGCCGCTATCTAGGATCGAATTTACAGCCTCCGGATCGTGAGGCGAGAGCTCCACCTCCAGGCCACTTCACCACTCTATTACCCAAGTAGAATAATTTGTATAAATAAGAAGATAATGTATAAGAAAGAAGAGAATCTATAACTGTGGAAACTGCAACTACCATATTTTTCGGAGTATAAGACGCACCAAGATTTTGAAGAAGTAAATTAAAAGTTTTTGCACTCTGCAGACCTCCCCAAAACAGCCTGTTTTTCGTGAAAACTGACCGTTTTTTGTCAAAACCCCCGACATGCATAGCCATTAGGAGGCTTATAGAGTGCTCCAGGGGGCTGGGCGGGGGGCAATATGAGCAAAAAATGGCCCGTTTTTCGCTCATTTCTTCCTTCACCTGCCCCCAGGAGCACTCTGAAAGCCTCCTAAAGGCTATGCACGACCATTTTTGCAAAGGGGTGGGGTTTCGGGAAGCCAAAAATGCTGTATTCAAAATGCTGTAAGTCGCACCCAGATTTTCACCCTCTTTTTTTGAGGGGAAAAGGTGCGTCTTATACTCTGAAAAATATGGTAAGTACGGACAGACTGCCCTCCAACTTCTGCAGGCAAACCCAGAGCTCAGACATCCTGGGACAAAATGATTCATATGCAATGCTGGAAAACTGACTGAATTCAATCATCTTTATTTTTTGTCATCTTTTGATACATGATGAATGAAATTTATAACAAGAGCCTTCCAATTTACAAACCAGAGCATTTGGGAGGAATCTTAATTCCCAGTTTTTCTTTCTAAAATGTAAACTAAATTTTGTTTAATGAGATCATATCAGGATAAAATCAGTATGCCCCATCATAAGCTTCAGGAAGGAGTTCTGACTAATCTAGGCCTTTTCTTTTTAAATGATAATTCACTTACAAGAAAATAGATTTAAATACAGCAAGAACACCAGATTGCCTTAAATTGAGCTCTTGAAAGGTTCTGTTTTTTTGAAAAGAAGATTGTTAAAGCATTAATGTCTGATCTAAGGCTGATTCAAGCACTACAAAAAAGCTGGATTCATGTGGCCATCATCATAAATGATCTAGGTCACAAACTTTACTTGTTAATATGCATTCCTCCATACATTTACCTTGTTCCTTAATAATTCAGGCCCCAGAAAAAGTAAGGAAAACAGATGTGCTTATCAAAGCCGTGTCATCTTATCCTAGCCCATCCTTGGTCTAGGAAGCATTTGATGCTTTATCATTATAGGTCATGGAATACATTTTCTAGGAATCAGGTGTAAATTCCTATTTCCACACTACATGGATATTGAACCAAAATTAGATAGCCTTAAATTTGGACAAGCTGACAATGGTTTGTTTTAGAAATCTGTCATTCTTATTATACACTAAATGTATTCTATTAGCTTCATTGAGTGCAAGAAACATAAGTTTACTAACTAATTAGATGTAATAAATACGGATAAAACACTAAATCTCATCTACCCAGTGATAGACATAAGAAGTACAGGCTAAGATTAATAACATTCAGGAATTTTCCCTTTGTAGGGATTGCTTTTAAGCTTCTGTCAGTAGAACCAAATTGTATATAGGAAACCAGGACTTGTATGCAAATGAAACAATTTCTACTGAGCCGAAATAGCCAAAGAAAGAATCAAGCTAGGCCAAACAGATTTGAAATTCTACTTTCAACCGCTCTGGGGAAATCTCTTACTTTCAAATGTATAAATACAGCGCAGAAAAAACAAACACTGTTGACTTACAGAGGTATATGCAGTTGGCTGATCCGTGGTTCTCTGGGAAATTGCTGCATCCATATGAGTCAAGCCCAAAAAATTCAGACACAGTGGAGGAGTCAAACGACAGAATAACCTGGGTGAAAAGTAGCAGCAGTTGTAAAGTAATTGCAAACTCTTCCTTCCATTATTAATAAGGGTGAATGTGTTCATGTTACTGTATTGTACTTTTTTTGATTCTTTTCATGCAGAGGAAGTTAGGTAACATTATTCAGGTAGCCCTCGGCTTATGACTATAATTGAGATCGCAATTATAATTGTAAATCATGGCTGTTAAGTAGGTCATCATGTGATTGCACCCAATTTTACAATCTTTTTATGGTGGCTATTAAATGGTAATTAAATGAACCCATGGTTCGCTAGGCAGTATTTTTTGGGACAGAAAATGGAAGTAAATGTCAGGTTCCATTCAAAAAAATGTTGTAAATTGTGCTCTTGTGACAGTACGATGACCATAAATGTAGGCTCACTATTGAATGCCCCCCAAAATGTGGTCCTGTGACTGTTGTGGCCCAGCAGGAGCCGTTGGAGCTGCCGATGGACTCCGATAGCGAGGACCCCTATGAGTCAGCTATGGAAGATGTGGAGGACCCTGGGCAGGGTTCAGAGAGGCTGGTTGGCCACCAGGAGGCCCCTGAGGCATGGAGCAGTGGGGAAGATCAAAGGGAGTTTGTCCCTGTCGCCAGGCAACATAGGGCGGAGAAATGGAGGCTGTAGTTATGGAGACAGACTCATAAGAGATAATCAAGCCCAGGTGGTTGTGGCTTGGCCCCTTCCAAGAGAGTATATAAGAAGAGACTTTGGGAGGAGTCCTTTTGCAGGACACAACTGTTCGTAGTAATCTGGAGAACTCCTTGTCTGGTCTGCCTTGTGTTCCCATGTTTGTTGGAGTCTGGGTTGCTGCCAACTTCTTGCCAGTGAGTTGTGTTTGGGCTTTCAGCCAACAGGATTATAATTGCTGTGAATAAAGAGTGGCAAACAGCTAAGCCTGTGTCTGCGTTCATTACCGGACGGAGGGGGGGCCAGAACATGTGACTATGTTATGGGGTGTGTGGCCATTGAAACTTCAAATCTTGTTTATAAGTAGCTTTATTGGAGTTCTTCATAACTTTGAATGGTTGCTAAGCAATGGATCATAAATTGATGATTGCCTGTCCACTGCTCCACATAGAACTGTAAACAGTATTTGGACTGGATCTAGGTATGTGCTACCGAAAGGAGATGAATCAAAACAGATTTCCTCTTTCTGTTCCCAGCAACCTTCTGCAAACACACTGCACTCTCTGAGCTTGGTTGCTTTCTTGTAGATGTTTCATTACTCAAACTAGATAACATCATCAGTGCTAGTACTGGCACTGAATGTTTTCCTGCAGACTTCATTATTTGCAAGAAAACAACCAATGTCAGAGCACCAAAGTCCCCTCATTTCAAACCTGAGTTACAAATATTCTCTTTTATTGGTAAACACTCTTCCGAAAGATGGAAGTTGAGTCTCTACTGAATAGAGTAGAATGAGCAGGAAGAAGGGAGATGATTTCTGAATGGAGTGGAATGGCGAGGAAGAAGGGAGATATTGTACAGAAGATGCTTTCGCCCAGTTTCTCAGTGCTTCTCTCCCTTAGTCTCCTATGAATGAGACTCTTCTGCACAGCAGGGAACAGTTTCTGGGATTCTACTTCTAATTACATTGTCAACCCTGAAGCGAACCTGACCGAGGCCACCTTTATGACTTCAGGGTTGGAACAAGAGAGGGAGGGGGGAGAAAATTGTTAGCTAGGGTCTTGGGAGTCAAAACAAAACATTTTCCTGTGGGAGCCAAGGACATCTCAACAGGTGGCGGGGAAGAGGAGGAATAGAGTAACCACTTAACTGGACGGTACTTTTATTGGACAACGTGACTGATGTCAGGGGAGGGGGAACTTTTACTTTTTAATTAATTGAAAACCGCGGGAACTTTCAGAGTCAGTTTTCACCAGTTGTGCCACTAAATTGTTATGATGTATCCAATAAATTATTCTTTGGGGAATCAGCCTGCCTTGGAGTTCTGCTTTCAATGGGTGCGTTACTTGGAATGCTGACATACATAATTATCATATATAATAATTGATATAATCTGATTTAAAATTAAACTGAGAGCTATTGTGGAGTCTAGATTTTGACCAAGATCTATTTATACTTCAGTGCATTCCTTCTTTATATTGGTTGTAACTGGCCAAACAGCACAAATAGCAAAATAAATACTTACATGCCACTGAAAAGCAAACTATATGCATCTGTTTGATGGTGTGAAGCTAAGTAATAATAGTTGAATACACGGATCCTGAAGACTGTAGAATAAACGCAGATACTCAGGAAAAAGATTGTAAAAAAACAAGCCATCTGCAAAACAAGAAACTAGAGTTACTATTAGGCTCAATTAACAGTTGCAGACAGGTACCATGTGGATGACCTAACTAAAGTAGTGAATTTCCTTCTAATCCCAAATTTGAATAGCTCTAACAAAAAAGATCAAATCTAAGCAGTTTCCTCAAAGTCAATGAATGCGGAACTTAACAATAGTTATGACAGAAATTGCCAAACCATCACATGAACTGACCTCTATGTAAAAATAGTTGTAATTCTTTTCCGCTAGTCGTATGAAGACTGCAAAGAGGGACAGAACTGGCTTTGGGCTGAAAAACGTACATTCTGACCACACGACGACGATGGAAAAGATGGCCAGGATAATGGCGAGAATCCTGTGGAACCATGGTCGTAGAAGGCATTCCCAATACCATTCTAAAGCAAAATGAAACAAAACAAACGAAAAAATAATAATAAGAAAATCGTTTCAAAGTTGCTTTCCGATAATCCTTGATTTATGACCGTTCGTTCAGCAACTCTTTGAAGTTACAACCTCACCGAAAAAAGTAACTTATGCTTATGACTATTGCAGGTTCACATTTATGATAGTGGCAGTGCCCCAGACTCATATGACTACCATTTGTAACCTTCCCAGCTGTCAACCAACAAGCAGAGTCAATGGAGAAGCTGGCAAGGAAGGCCACAAATTGCAATCAAGTGATATTTTACTTAATGATGCAGGTTAAGCAAAATCAGGTTGCAAAAAATCAGAGGTAGTCACATGATGTCACACTTAATGACAACACCATTTAATAATAAATTTAATTTATTAAATTAAATTAAATAATACATTTTCTAGTCCCAATTGTGGTCATAAGTCAGCTACTTATAACTTTTCTAGTAGCAGCACTTGAGCTGAAGTACCTAGGACAGACAGTAAGAGGACAAAGGATGAACCCCACATACAAAATTAAACCTAAGTAGAAAATGGTGATAAGGAGCAAGGTTTGAATGATTTTTTAAAAAAAGATGCCATAGACTTAGGATGGATCACAATGGAATCCTTTTCATTATTTTAGAGGTTTTGTTTAAAACATGTATTCTATTATGGTATAACAAAACATACCAAGAGTTGGTGTATAGAGATATTGGATAATTTTGTTTTCAGCTTCTTGAGACTGAAAAGTATGAACAAATTGACGAGTGGCACTGGATTCATTTTTTGCCACATCTTCCAGGTAAAAGGCTTGCTCTAAAAGAATTTGCCACTGGACTTGTGTACGATGATGCCTTTGAACTGAATAATTTACCTAACAAAATAAAAACAGTATTCTAGTTATTTATGGCAATAAGGGCAGAATAAGATAGAGATGATTTTCTCAAAACTCCAACAAGTGCTTCCTTAATAAACAGAATACACATCCATTCCACAGAATGAATGTATGTGTATATATGCACGCAGATGCCAAAACAAAGATAGGAATAATTTTTTTATGAGGAATATGGCTTGGGTTACCAAGTATCTTCCTGCATACACAATATATTAAATATATAGGAACACCAACACCTTGATTAGCATAGGTAATTATGGATATATGTGGATATATTTTCATGCACTAAGCACAATCACACCTGCTTACAATACAGTGCATAAAAAAAAAGACTGGAAATAATTATGCATTTTGTAACATTGCGACTAGACAACTGAGTTCAGGTACTAGCAAAATAAACAGAGTTGGAAAGACAGCAGAAATTAACTTCATTATCTGGTAATTCTTATACTGATATAATGAATAACTAGGAAAACAGTATGTAGATTACATGCCCGATTTGCATACTGCAGCTCAGACATTGAATTCACATCTGTGAGGAAGATATGTTCTCTGTCAGATGGTCAGCCCTTTTTCCCTACTGGAAAGACTGTGCACCTTTGAAAACTGGAGGTAGAATTCCCATGAATCTGTGGCCTGGAGCTGGAAAAGAATAGAGTGCCATCCCAGGAGTATTAGACTGCATTTGAACAGTCATCTGCTCTATGGTGTGATTATAGGAAGCCCAAGACAAAAGTAGTCTGTTTACTGGTCTCTTGATCTCTTGAACTATAACTTTAAATTCAGATATATTCAAGAGAAAACAAACACAGTGGTGGATGCAAATACCCAGAGGTGTCTTTGAGGAGGTCTCTCAAGGAAGGCTGTCAGGATTCCCACGATGCCCTAATGAACTCATGAACCTCGAGCCAAGTTTCAAAAGAAATCCAGTTATTTATTAGGAGCAACATGTCAACACATAAGTGAATGAAGACACCTCTGCCCCACGTAATTTACGGCTCAGCTATGACCCTGTTTCTCCCCTCTTCCCAGGGTGTGTCATAAATCACATTCTCCAATGAGCTGAGTTGCTCTGTCAGTTGTCCCCCCCTCCCTCTTCCCTATGGCAACTTGAGAGTAGGCCAGGAATGCTTTAGGAGTTGACAAAGGGAACTTTTGGATTATTTGGATTCAGGAATGCAGTTATAGTACTCTCTCACATATACATACATGTTATCCTACTTGCATGTTCTGGTTATGCATCTGCTACAATTTCACACGCACTGAACATAAGCCATTGACATTATCTAACTACCTGCTTATGAAGCTTCACTAGGCTTTTCTCTGTTGGATAAGTATTGGATCTTTCTTCAAAGTCTTCATAATCATCCATGTTTCGACCCATCCTATCCTGATATTCCGTGGGACACTGAAATTAAAAGAGAATATACTGCGGTCTACATCAAAGTCTCTATATCAAAGCCTACCAGAAAAAATAATGATCTGCTCTTCTCTTATTATACATGAGATCTTATTTTCATTCTTTTTATTCAAAGTTTCCCTAGCAAAGAAGAAAACAGTGGGCTATCCTGTTTCCTTGATCCATTAAAACTAGGAAATAGTTCCTACTACAGAAAAACAATCATATCACTTCAGACAAATTTCTGATTATAGGTAATCCTCAACTTATGAGTCCAACATTTCCATTGCAAAGCGAGACAGTTGTAAAGAGAGTTTTGCATCCTTTCTTGCCATAATTGTTAAGTGAATCGTTGCAGTTGTTAAGTTGGTAACATGGTTACTAAGTGAATCTGGCTTCCCCATTGCCTTTGCTTATCAGAAGGTCACAAAAGGTAATAGACCTGCAACTGTCATTAATATGAATCAGTCACCAAGTGTCTGAAGGTCGCAAAATGTAACCATGACTCCTGGATACTGCAATCATCATAAACACATGTTCATTGCCAAGTGTCCAAATTTTGATCATGTGACTATGGGTCTGCTGTAATCGTATCATAAACGGCCATAGGTCTCTTTTTTCAGTGCTGTTTTAACTTCAAACAGTTGCTAAATGAATGTTGTAAGTTGAGAACGACCTGTAGTCCCGCACGAATATTTTTATCTGAATGTCTATGGAGATTCTCAGTCATCCAGGTCATGGTTGTCACAAAGGTGCTTTTTCACAAAGCAACTGGACTTTCTGAAGAGCTGAAGAAGTTTCTTGGGTGAGAAGCGAAACGTCCTCAAAGAAAAAACCAGGAAGTCCAGTTGCCTCGTGAAAAAGCACCTTTAGGATTTTTGTCTGACAGTCCTGATCTTTTTGTGCGGCATTCCTTTTCTTCTGCCAGTGGCAGTGTACAAGTGAAAATATCGAAATCAGTGAAGGTCTTTTTCCTATGCTACTTCCCAGAGCTATTTGCAGTAATTTTTCTCCTGATTGCTAAGTGGTTGAGTACAGTAATTGTGGGCATGACTGGCACAATGGAGCACTGAAACTAAGACAAGACATCCTACTGTCTCTACTGAAAAAAGTAAGGAAAATATCCTTTACCCAGGCTTGAATTAGCCTTCTTATGCTCCACTGATAATTTCAAACCCCCGTGGCAATGTTTAATACTGCTTGATTAAGCTACCTTTTTTAATATTGTATCCACACATTTCCTCAAAGGATGGTTGTATTTGATGCTTTCATTTACTTTACGGACCTCCTGTTTATGTGAAGAGGAAAAAAAAAACCCATCAGAAATATAATTTCTATGCAGAGAAATTTTTACTATGACATTCAGTTAAATGTACAATATTTTACAAAGGAGTTGGATTTTTACAAGCCGTGACAGACTCACTGAGGAATTTATTTTGAAACCAGTTTTAGGAAAAAGTTGGAAAAGCAGGCGACATAATTGGTAATGGAGTCCTCTTTTTACTTTGCACCTTTTATGCTCTTTGGCTCTGGGGCCTGGAGGTTTTATCTTTAAAAATTAAGAGTTGAAATTATGAAATAAGGAAGCAGGAAATTCCCTTTACAGTATTGAAAATAGCACTGCAGCTGACATAATATAAAGTGCTTGTTAATTTTCTTGCTACCCTGGATATCAAGAAGTTGTATGCACCTTTGGCATTTTGTTTCTCAAAATTCTTATCTACTTCCTTTTATATCCCTGCACTGCAGAATGTACTTACCTCCATAATATCCTCCAGGTTTTCTTCTGCATCTGCCTTTTCGGTCATCAGTTTAGCAGCCTTGAAGTAGGTCTTCATGAGAAGGTAGCCCTTTTTAGCTCCATTCCAGTGAGAGCGTGGGATTTCTACTAAGCCATATCCTAACAGCAACACAAGCAGAAAGAGGCCCCAGGTATTGGCAGCAGCTATTCCAATCGTCTGAAGTTGATTCCTGAAACAGAAAAAGTGCCCTGGGGTTTCATATGCAGTGTCAAGGGGTGTCAAACTCGATTTTATTGAGGGCCGCATCAAGGTTGTTTGACCTCAGGGGGTTGGGATGGTTGTGGCCAGGGTGGGCATGGCCAGCTCAATGTCACTTTCAGTATGTCAAGGGCACCTGTGATGACTGTGATGTTTCAAGGGCAGCTCCAGCCAGATCCGGCATCTAAGCAACTCAGATCTCCAGCCAGATCTGGCCCCCAGGCCTTGAGTTTGATACCCCTGCAGTAAGTACTAAAGATTTTAAACTACTGTTATATAAAATCCTGGAGAAAATCTACTTATATGGTTGCTAAGGGTCAATACCATGTTAATGGCCTACAATCAATCAATCAATTAAATATTTTTTATCAGAAAAACATTAAATTCTTTTTTCTGTTGTACTTATTATTGACTAATGCTTCCTTTTCCAGAGTGTAGCTTGATTTGCTATATCCAAGAGGTTCATATGAATGTTGATGATACATAAAACATTCTGAATATGAAATGGGTGTTTTGATTTTACTGAAGTCTTCTAATGCTGTTACACCAAAACAGAAGTGTTCTGAATTGGAGTGAACTTTTATAGTAGGAACAACCTTTGAAGACTCTTGGTAAGAGCAAATTGCCATTTCAAATTTAAAACGGAGTGTGCTTTGAAACATTTCAAACACGACAGGCACACCTGTTTTTGCCAGAAGAAAGCATTCCTTACTGAATCAGTGAAGCAACTAGTCTTGTTGGCTTACATTCTCAAATTTATTAAGCTACTCAGCCAAGGTTGAAACTAAATGTTGAACTTTTGCAGCATCTAGTCATGACCAATAATAGTCAATTTCCAATAAATTACAAATCCATTAAATTAATAATTAATGTGAAGCAATTTGTTTCTACTAATAAAGAATACACTGATACATTATTTTAGTCCCTGTTAGAAATAGCCCCACTGAGAATGGAAGCAACTAAGTAAGACCAGTAAACTTACTCATCAATTGGGACAACTTCTAAAAAAGCTTTCCCTCTGAATGTTTAGCAGAGCAAGCTTTGAACTCAATCCTATATGCTTAACTAGTGTGAGGTAAAGGTGTCACTGTGGGTTTTATCCTAATTGTGACCGACTTTAGAGGTTGGTGCTCATCTCTGTTTTTTAAGCCAAGAGGCAGCATTGTCTGGAGATGTTTCTGTGATTATGCAGCCAGCATGACATCAAGCCACAACACAGAGCATACAGGAATACACGGAACGCTGTTATCCTCCTGTATGCTTATATGCGATATCTATGAGCCATGGTGGCGTAGTGGTTAGAGTGCAGTACTGTAGGCTACTTCTGTTGACTGCTCACTGCCGGTTGCCTGCAATTTGGCAATTTGAATCTCACCAGGCTCAAGGTTGACTCAGTCTTCCATCCTTCCAAGGTTGGTAAAATGAGGACCCAGATACAATACAATACAATAGCAGGGTTGGAAGGGACCTTGGAGGTCTTCTAGTCCAACCCCCTGCCTAAGCAGGAAACCCTATACCATTTCAAACAAATGTTTATTCTTCATCCTCTGGGCATTGGTGTATAGACATTTGAGTCCATTTTGATCGACCCTGTGTTTACTGTCTACATAACCTGTGTTATGCCTGACTGCCCTTATTTCCTTGCCACTTGTATGATTCATGCACATATAGATGATAAAGATTACAGTATAACTGAATCCAAACTTTTCATTTGGGCTAATGGATAGGAAACTCAAAAAAAAAGAGGCCTACAACTTTGTTTTTATGAATGACAACAGCTGCAAG